GACCATTAAGAAAAACCAGTCACTAGCAAAGGACATCATGTCTGGTAAATCTGATAGCACTCAAAATGGGGGAACCCTCAGTGAGGTGATTGTTGTGTACCATCTAGTCAGAACCAACCCACAGTGACCTTCAGAGATAGTTAATCCCATGGGAGGAGACTGCCATCTTTCTCTCATAGCACATAGCTGGTGGATTTGAACCACATGCCTTTGGCATTGCAGTGCAGCTTCTTACTACAACAAGGCCACCAGTGCTCCCTAAAAGACATCATATCTCGTAAAGCTGAGACCACTGAAAATGGGACATCCTCAGTTGAGTGTTTTTATGTGCTATCAAGTTGCCTGTGGCTCATAGCGGCCCTATGCACAACAACCTGAAACCCTGCTCTATCCTGTGCCAATCTCACTGTCTTTGACACACCTGCCACCCTCATTAACCCAGTCAATGTATCAGGCCATCTCGTCCAGGGTCTTCCTTTCTTGCACTGTCCCCCTCCCACCATCCCAATCACGATGTCCTTCTCAAAGAACTGGTCCTGTCTCACAACATGTCCAAAGTATGTCAGATGAAGCTTCAGAATCCTTGCCTCCAAGGAGCCACCCGGTTTAACCCTTTCCAGGACAAATCTGTTTGTTTACCTAGCAGGCCATGGTATTATTCAATACTCTTCTCCAGCACCACAGCTCAAAGGCATCAATTCTCCCTGTATCGTCCCTAGTCGTTTCCCAGTTTTCTAATGAATAGCAAGTGATCGCAGACTGTGGCCTGGATCAGGCACACTGACATCATTGGCCTTCAGACGTTCCCAATGAAATACATCCTGGCATATACCCTTCCCAATTTTGAACCATGCAGTGTTTCCTTGCTCTGCTCTGACAACTGCCTCCTGGTCCAAGTATAGGCTTCACATAACCATAATAAGTATTCTGGGATTCCCATTCTTCTCAGAGTCAGCCACAGTTTGTTGTGATCCACACAGTCAAATGACTTTACATAGTCAATGAAGCAGAGATAGACATTCCTCTGGTACTCCCTGCTTTCAGCTAAGATCCATCTAACATTAGCTATAATATCTCTAGTGCTGGTGGAGCAGGGAAAGGGTTAGATAAAGACGCACATGTCAAGGGCAGGAACAACAGTAAATCTATTGGTTATTTCTACAATTAGGAAATACCTTTCAACTGCTCTTTTCTGTTAAAATGCTCGTCTGTTAGATAATCTTCTGAATCTAAGCATTCAAATTCAGACAGGCCAAGAAAGAAGTACTGGCCATCCACTTCTGAGATAACAGGACTTAGAAAACCCTATGTACAACAGAGCACTTAGATGTGCAGATATGGCAACTGAGGCTGAGCCCTCAAGTACAGAAACACGAAGGAGGAGAACAGGGTTATTTTTGTGCATTTTCTTTTTCTTTTTTATTATTATTACTTTTAATGAAAATCTACAGAGACTTTGGATTTCCATTCATTCATTGTTGCACTTTTCTCCCTGCCCCCACTGGAGAAGGTCATTATTCAGCTGTGAAAACTAAGCCAAGTGCTGAGTGTGGAACATACCACCAGCTGCAAGTTCAAGTAAAAGCTGAGGAAAATTAAATCAAATCCACAGAAACCAAAATTTGACCTTAAGTCTATCCTGCCTGAATTTCAAAACCATCTCAGAAACAGGTTTTGAGGCCCTGACACTAAATGAGCGAAGACCAGATGAGCTGTGAGAGGATATCAAGAGTATCATCCAGGAAAAATGCAAAAGGTCATTGCAAAGACAGAGGAGGAAGACAAAGATGGATGTTAAGAAGAGAACATTAGAGAACAGAGAGGTCAAAGCCAAGGGAAGAAATCAGAAGATTATGAAGGACAGTGCAGGAAGACAAAACAAAGTATTACAATGGAATGTGCAAGGAGCTGGGGTCAGAAATCAAAAGAGCCAAACTCACTCAGCATTCCTTAAGCTAAAGAAACTAAAGAACAAATTCAAGCCTCGAGTCTTTTAATATTTACAGATATTTTCGGCAGAATATTAAATGATCCAGAAAGCATTAAGAGAAGATGAAAAGAGTATGCAGAGTCATTATACCAAAAGGAATTGGTGGACACAGAAGAATTCCATGAAACAAAGTATGAGCAAGAGCCTGTGCTGATGAAGGAAGAGATTCAAGCTGCTCTGAAAGAATTGGCAAAAATAAGGCCCCTGGAATTAATGGTATACCAATTGATATATTTCAACAGACGCTGCCCTGGATGTGCTCACCAAGTTGTGCCAAGAAATCTGGAGGACAGCCACCTGGCCAACTGACTGGTGGTGGTGGTGTTATGTGACGTAGAATCGCTTGTGGCTCATAGTGACCCTATGTACAACAGCCCTAAACCCTGCTCTATCCTGTGTCAACCGCACTGCCTCTGGCATACCCATCTCGATTACCCCAGTCACTGAATCAATCCATCTCATAGAGGGTCTTCCCCTCTTGGGCCATCCCTCTACTCTCACAAGCATGATGTCCCTCTTCAAGGACCTGTCCCTCCTTACAACATGTCCAAAGCATATCAGACGAAGCCCCAGAATCCTTGCCTCCAAGGAGCAGCCTGGTTTAACCTTCTCCAGGATGAATCTGTTTTCTTGGCAGTCTATGATACATTCAATACTCTTCTCCAGCACTACAGCTCAAAGGCATCAATTCTCCTTCTTCCTAGTCACTGTCCAACTCTCTGATGCATAACAAGTTATCGTAAAGACCATAGCCTGTATTGGATGCACCTTAGACTCCAGAGTGACACCATTGCTCTTCAGTACTTTGGAGAAGTCCCTAACAGCAGACTGAAGATTACACAAAAACAACTGGAACAGCCTATTAACAGAGAATTACCTGAAGTGAAGGCTAGGTTTAGAAGAGGATGTGTTACTAGGGATATTATTGCTAATGTTAGATGAAGTGAGTGATACAATAACTCAGTAATCACAAAGACATCATACAACCTATTGATGTTTTATTCTTTATATATTTAAGGTCAGCAGGATTCAGAGACAACTCAATGGCAACTTGAAACAGCAAACATCTGCCAGTGTAAAAATTCTCTATAACATAACCATAGCCAACGGTTCACTTGAATAAGATTAGAAACAGTGGTAAGGAGAAAGAAAAAAAACCACACAACAACTCCTTTCTAGGTTAGCTCTCCCACAAACTTTCACCTCCTGCTTGTAGCTTTACCTTTCAGGGCTTTAAAATAAAGAGGGAACCCCAGAAAGATAAAAAATAGCAATCACTATTTAAAAACAATTTGCATGCCTTCTTCCGAAATTGTAGATTTAAGCTACAGGAACATTTAACATTTATCAGATTCCCTCTATTTCTTTAACAAGTTGCCAAAAATGATGGCAAATGTCTTTCTAAGCACAGCCATCAATTTACAAAGTATGTGGCAATGTGTTACAATATAGAGCACAACTAAGTTGAAACAGTAAGCAGCAGACTTAAATACTTTTTAAAAATTCATTTTAATGAAACTTTACAGACTTAGGGGTTTCCAGTCATTCATTGTTGCACTTTTCTCCCTGCCCACCCTCTCCTCCAATTCACTCTTCTCCTTGAAAAGTAAAAGAGAAACTTTCATTGTTCTGCAATCCCTCCCTCCTAGTCCACTCCACTATGCAGCCTTCATTCTGGACTTCTGTAATGACAATACCCAATCATGTATCCTTTTTAAACAGCTCTCTCACTCATCTGTTTCAATGCCAAATACAAAATTTCTCCCCTCCTTTTCTGTCTTCTCTCAACCTCAAGTTGCCCTAAGCAGTATTTGTCCTTTTGTGACTTAAGATATTTCACTCAGCCTAATGTTCTCCAGGGTCATCCACTGTGCATATATTTCTAGAGTTCCCTGTTTGTCAACGCTGCATAGTATTTCCATTGTGTGAATATACCAGTTTCTCTATCCATTCCTTTGTTGATGGGCACTTAAGGTTGTTTCCAGCTCTTTGCTATTGCGAACAAAGCCGCAACAAACGTGGGTGTGCATATATCTGCTTGCGTGGCAGTTATGGTTTCTTTAGGGTAAATTTCCAGTAGTAGAATTGCTGGGTCAAATGGTATTTCTATTTGCAACTTTTTGAGAAAGTGCCATACTGCCTTCCAGAGTGGTTACACCATTTTACACTTCCACCAAAAGTGAATAAGGGTTCCAGTTTCTCCACAGCCTTGTCAGCATTTGTTGCTCGCTATTCAGTTAAATTTTGCTATTCTTACTAAGATGAGATGATATCTCATAGTTGTTTTGATTTGCATCTCTCTTAGAGCTAGGGATTTTAAATATTTCATATGCTTGTTGGCCATCTGAATGTCTTCTTTGGTTAAGTATCTGTTCATATTCTGTGCCCATTTTTCAATTGGGATATTTACCTTTTCTTAAAGGCTGTAGTATAAATACATTATACAGATAACAGAAACTAAATATAATATCCAATGATGGTCTGAATTTCTAACAAATATACCACCAAGGACTCCAAAAGATGTGGTTTCGTCAAGGCTAAATTGAAAATAGTTACCCCTCTGAGTTAGCTACTGGGAGCTGTCCAATGATAAATTCCAAATGGCTTTGTTTAAAATGATCCAATAAGGGGGGGGGGGGTTTGTGCGGGGAGAAGGGTGCAACAATGAATGAATGGAATTCCAAAATCTCTGTAGATGTTCATTGAAATGAAAAATAAACTAAGAAAAAAAATGATCCAATAAGATAAGCTGAACAACAAGATTTATACAATTTATATGTAAATAACATTTCTTCTCCTATGACTCCTTAGTTTTCAGATACACAACTACAAAAAGTCATTTTTCCATACTACTAAATAACCCACTAAGGCATTAACAAGGTTTTTATTAACAGTTTACAATGAAAGAAAGTGTTCTCAATTAACTATCCAACTATTTGAATAAAACAGAATGAAGATTTAGGGAAGAAGTTACAAAAGAAACAATAATCAAAAACATAACTGTCCTTACCTTATCATACTGGCACACAACAACATTTTCTGTATCAAAGAGTTCCTGACCCTCCTCATCACTCACATCATCTTCACTATTAAGTGGTTCCTACAAATAAAAAAAAAGAAAATTTTATTACCAAAATATGCTAATATTCATTAACAATATCGTGACGATCTTGATGTTATTTGATAGTAAGGATGGACTAAGAGTCTACATAGAAATTCTTATGTAGCCACTACGAGAGTTATGGTAGATGCAAGTAGTAGAAGTTACTAGAGCCCTCAGATTAAAAATAAATATTATTAAAAGAAATTAAGAGTTAATATAGAACTTAACCTAGATCATAAAATGAACAATTAAGTTAGTATGACATCAACTGTGGCAAAAAACAAACGAAAGATCTCACTCAGGTTTCTAACAATTGTAGAAGAATATTTAAACTTTTATTTCACAAAATAAAAATGGAAAAGGGGAAACGATTTTAAGTCTAGATTTACTCATACATGTATTTACCTCTTTAAACTATACCATTCATATAAATTGTAAAAACCTTTTTTTTTTTTAAAACCTTCTAATTTGAGATCAAATCCATCATTTTAAGCGCTTTAAAGCACACGATTTAGCTGCACACCATAACGTAGTGCAACTTTTATCACTATCTAGTTCCAGAACAATTTCATCACCCGATAAGTAAGCCCCATGTCTACTGAGCATCATTCTTCATTTCTCTTGGTCCGTAACCTTGAGCAACAATAATCTACCTTCTGCTCACCCAATTTACTTGTGCTGGGTATTTTCTATAAATGAAACAATGTACAACATGGTCTTTGATGTACATCTGGCTTTTTTTTACTTAATAAAGTTGTTCTTTATTTTTAATTTGGTGTACTGTCAAACTGGATCCGACTGGCACAGGAGGAGTTTGCCCCTCCTTCTCCAGCAGAGCATCTGGTGGGTTCACAACGTACCTTTGGGATTGCAGTGCAGCTTCTTGCCACTAAGCCACCAGCGCTCCTGTAATAGGATTTTTCTTTTTCCCCTCTTTGTAATAATAGTATTTTTTAGGTTTAACTGTGCTAGAACATATTATGAATACTATTTTTTTTAATATGGCTGAATAATAATTAGCATTATACCACATCTTGGCTATCCATTCATAAGATGCACGATTAGGTCATTTCCACTTTTTTGAGTTACCGTACATAAAGGCTGTATGAACATTCACACACGTATTTTTGCTTAAATCTCTGTTGTAAATGGTGACTATTCCAAAGGTAATAAACAGAATATGGAAATGCACATTATTACTTATATTAAACACAAATGATGAATTTTAAAACTTTGGAGGAGTACGACTGACTCACTACCAAGTCCAGCTGGAATCACCTCATAACGGACCTCCAGCAGGTTTTCAGAGGCTGTAAATCACAGAAGGGCACTTCCCCTTTCTCCTGCAGAGCAGCTGGTGGATTCAAAGCCTGTTTTGAGTTGGCAGTCCAAATCCTTACCCATGAAGCCACCAGAGTGCCTAGTATGGAAGTAGTATATCCACCATAAATGAAAAAAATTTCAAGCTGAATTCAAAAATAGGATGAGGAATGAAAAATCACTGTGGGTATCTGATGGATCTTGGTAAAAGATGTTTACTCCTATTATTTTATGGACTATGTTAAAGCACTTGACTCGTGTGGATCTTAATATGGATAACATATGAAAATAAAGGTAATTCTAGAGCAAGTAACTGTTCTTATGTTTATCTGTATACTGACCAAGAAGCAGACATTCAAACAGAAGAGGGAGATACTCGAAGTTAGAATCAGGAAAGGTATACATTGGGGTTGCTAGTTCTTATACCTGTTCAGAAGCTGGACCATCTGAAGAAGAAATATGTAATCAAGATTGGAGGAAGAATTATCAACCTGCAATATGCAGATGAAACAACCCTGCTTGCAGAAAATAACACACTGAAGTAGTTACTGGAGAAGCTTACAGACTATAACCTTTAATAGTTTATAATTAAACCTGTTGTTCTTGTTATGTCCTGTTGTGTCGCTTGCAACTAACAGCAACCCTATGTATAAGAGCCCTAAACCCTATTCTATACTGTGCCAACCTTATTGTCTGACACGCCTACCCTCATTACCCTAGTTACTAAAGTGACCCATCTCATCAAGGGTCATTCCTCTTATGCTTTCCCTCCACCCTCCCAAACATAATGTCCCTGTCCAAGGATGGGCCTCTCTTTGCAACATGTTCAAAGTATGTCAGACGAAGTTCCAGAATCCTTGACTCCAAGGAGCAGCCCAACTTCATCCTCTTTAGGACAAACCTGATTGCTCTCCTAGCAGTCCATGGTATATTCAACACTCTTCCCCAGCACCACAGCTCAAAGGCATCAGTTCTCTATCATCCCTACTCACTATCCAGCACTCGATGCAGAGCTAGCAATTGCAAAGACTATGGCAAGAGGCATACCTTAGTCTCCAGACTGACACCTTTGCTAACCCAACATAAAAACCAAAAACCCTAACCACTCCAACAAAATCTAACATCATGATAGATGGAGTAAAGACTGAAATTGTCAAAGATTTCATTTTACTTTGACCTATAATCAACACTGTTGGAAATAGAAGTCAAAACAGGAAACTGGGTAAATTGGCAACAAAGGACCACTTTAAAATGATAAATAACAAGAATGTCACTATGAAAAAAAAATAAAATTTAAAAAAAAAAGAATGTCACTATGAGATCTAAAGTCTACCCGACCCAAGGTGTTGTGTTTAAGCTGTAGTATTTTTAATTCAGTCACTTCACATCAATATGTTAGAGGTGGGCAATGAATAAGGAAGAAGAAAGAACTGGTGCCTTCGAATTATGGTGCTTTTGAAAAATATAGATTATGGACTGGCAAAGAGTCAACAAATCCGTTTTAAAGAAAGTATAACTAGAACACTCCTTAGAAGCAAAGATGGTGAGACTTTGTCTATTTTGCCTGCTTTGGAAATGTTATCAGGAGGGACCAGTCCCTGGAGAAAGATACTGTGCTGTGGCCGGGGATAAAGAGCAACAGCAATATTTGACTCAAAGTTAACAAAGATTATAAAGATGAAACAGGCCCATTACATATATCTAGAATTTATAAAATACTCAAGCACCACAACAAGATAAAGCTAAACCACCCAATTGAAAAATGGGCACAGGATATGGACAGACCCTTCACCAAAGAAGACATTCAGATGGCTAACAAGCACATGAAGAAATGTTCACAATCCCTAGCTCCAAGAGAGACGCAAATCAAAACAACTATGAGATATCATCTCACCTCAGTTAAGAATAGAAAAATTTAACAGCAAGCAACAAATGCTGGCAAGGTTGTGGAGAAACTGGAACCCTTATTCACCGTTGGTGGAGGTGTAAAATGGTGCAACCACTATGGAAGGCAGTATGGTGCTTTCTAAAAAAGTTGCAAATAGAGATAACATTTGACCTAGCAATTCCACTACTGGGAATATATCCCAAAGAGACCATAAGTGCCACCCAAACGGATATAGCACACCCATGTTTACTGAGGCTTTGTTCACAATAGCAAAGAGTTGGAAACAACCTAACTGACCATCAACAAACAGATAGGTAGAGAAGCTGTGGTATATTCACACAATGGAACACTATGCTGTAGTGAAAAAACAAAGAACTCATGAAATATTATACAAAATGGGTGACCCTGGAGGATATTATGCTGAGTGAAATATCTCAGTCACAAAAGGACAAATACTGCATAGTGCCACTGTTGTAAAGTGGGACTGACATCAGGGTTGGGGGGAGAGACCGAGAAAGATGGGAGAAATTATATATACTGCATTTTAACAGATGAGGGAGAGAACTGTTTAAAAGGGATATATGATTAGGAATTGTCGTGATAGGAGTCCAGAATGAAAGGCTGCACAGTGGAGTGGACTTGGGAAGAGGAAAGTATAACAGTGCAAGAGTTTTTCTTTCACTTTTCAAAGAGAAAAAGAGATCTGGGGGGGGGAGGGGGGAGAGGTTGGGCAGGGAGAAAAGTGCAACAAAGAATAAATGGAAATCCAAAGTTTCTGTAAACGTTTATTAAAATTAATAATAAAAAAAATTTTTAAAATAAAAATACTTAAAAATTAGGCTTAGTGGTTTTCATTAAAGATGATCTGACAAAAAAAAATAAAAAAGTGGAAATGAGGGAATAAAAAATTCTGATCTGTTGAATTTTCTAGTTAATTGATCAGTAGTTACTGACTCTTTATGCTTCTAGTTATACAAGTAATTTAGATTAGATTGCATAAAATCTTAAATTAGGTATTTATACTTTATGCTCCCATTTTCTTTCAGGTTCCCCTAGAAAGAAAAATTTAAAACTTATGCTTAGTTTTATATATTCTGACCCACAACAATAGCAATTATGTTTTTTTTTTAATTTTCTTGAGAACATTGTGAATTTTGAAGCTGTAGGATTATTGGGGTTTTTTTAAAAGGATTAAAATGCTACGAATCTGGGGGGGAAAAAATTCCTAGCCTCCAAATAAAAACTTATGTTTCATCTTCTCCAAGACAGACCTGTTTGTTTTCTTGGTGGTCCATGGTTATGTTCGACTCTTCTCCATCACTACAACTCAGAGGCATCAATTCCTGATTGTGGATCCACACAAGACGATAGTGTTGAAAATGTCAAATCTTTACTACCTATCAGGATGTTGCCTATTATTAGGCCAGTGGTGTGTATATATGACTTCTCCATGTTGAGATGTATTCTATATAGAAGGCTGTAGTCAAATGAACTTCTGTAGTAAGCGTCTCAAGTCTTCAATTTCTGCAAAGAAGGCTGTGTCTTCTCTGTAACACCAGGTGTTGAGTCTTCCTTCAATCCTGGCACCACATTCTTCTTAATAAAATCCAGCTTCACAAATTATTTGCTCAGCATACAGACTTGAATAGGAATGGATACAGGATACAACACTGATGAACACTTTCTTTTAAACCATGTAGTATTCCCTTCTCATTGGGTTTTTCATGAGCACAGCTAAGTGTTCTGAGATTTCCATTTTTCTTATGTTGGCCCTAATATGATTCACCGT